CACGACGCTCTTCCGATCTCCCCAAAACCCCAAAACCCCGTTAAGCCAGATAGACTAGTTATGGGAAGAAATGGGATTTTTACGCAATTTAATAATATAGGAAAGATGTATTAAATGGTTATGGTAAAAAAAATTATAGTAGACTCTTAATATTCCTTCAGTTAATATCAATGCAAACTTATTATTGTTAAGTATCCTTAATGGGCAGATGCATTGCTGCTTCTCCTCAAAAATTAAATATTTGATGAAATTCACCATCAGTTATTGATGGCAATTCGAGCTAGTTGAATATCTCAAACTCTATTCCTTTTGCTAAAGGAATCTATCCACGTTTAATATTAAGATGCTAGGTCGGCAGAATTCTATATTTATTTTTGCCGTGAATATTCTTTTTCTTATTTTGATCTATAAAGCCATTAGATTAATTATCTTAATTAATTCTGTCAAGATACTCTTGAAAATTAAACAAAGGAGTATCTTCAGTTGTCTCTTACCAGCAAATTTTTTTATTTGAGTGAACGTGTTAACAATGAAGTAATTATTATAAGACACTGGTATTTATTAAATCAGATTAGGCGATGCTGCAATTTTAATATGATTGTTACGGGACATATAAATCGGAGGTTTTATTTACAATAGATGGTGCTCGAGACTTTTGTTCTATTGTCGTTGCATTAACTTTGATAATTCTAATGGAACAAGTTCTGCGCTCAAGTTCTGCAGGATTATTTTCAAACGGATTCATCTTCTCTATCAGAATTGTAGTTCAAGGTACCTAAGACCCCTAGTCTATGTTTTTTAAACGGAATCTAAATTTCTTTTTAGAGGTTCTATTCTCTTGGAGGTAGGTTTAATTGACGGCTTTTGCATTTGGATAGGGAATTCCAACTTCCAATCCAGCTTTTTTAATAGAGTATTACTCATGGTATATGAGCCTTATCAATTCACGACGTTATTCGTCAGTCACCCTGATATATTTTTTCACCATCACTTGCCGTATATCGTTAGTAATATATATTAAAAATTCCCAATAAAAAGCTATTAAATATAGTTCTCAAAATTGAAAAAATAAATCAAATCGACACTTAATTTGTTTAAATTTATCATCATTTGTTCTATTTTTGAATTTAATAGCTTAACCAAGGGGTTTAAATTGAGAAATCTTATTACTTGAACTAAGAGTTTTAATATATTTATTAAAATGCAAAAATTAGTATTCTCAGCCGCCATGATTGCTCTTGTGCAATCACAATAGTCCCAAGCAGCAGTAAAAACTACAATCAATGGAATCAAGGATGCTGCCATTAAACATATCACGACTGTTAAAGACATTCAACTTCTACCAAAAATAGGGTAGACTGAAAATCAATAAAAGGCCCAGAAAGGATTCTTAAGTCTCTAGAGTGTGCTCCCTTCTCAAGATCTATAGCAATAACTTCAAGGACTTCCAACTGATCAAGTCATTGGAGTGCTACCTAACCAAGACAATTTGACTCCAGCTTAACAAGCACAGACAGCTTTGCTTGGCCAAGCCAGAGGAGAAGTACTTAGATAGCTAGAACTTCAAAGATAGCAAATATCAATCTAGTACTAAGCTGAGTTAGAGTCATTGAAAGCTAGCCTTACAGCTCAAAGTGGAATGCTACCAGGGTGTGACTGGGCCTGTGTCGACTAATGCTCCTTAGCATCAGTCACATTGGTTGACAAGGTACAATGCTTCTAGCTCTGCAACTGCTATACCTAGGCTTCCTTGCAATACACTTAGAATTCCACTTCAGTATTCAATACTCTGCCTTAGTAGACTATTACGTAATAGCAACCCGTACCCATATCTTTATTCACATTAAATGAGACTATGCTTGTATCAGATTCTAACTTAACTTTGCCACTAATTACTAGCAATCAGACTTAAGATGCACCAGTAGTCATATCATCATTAGACCTATTAAATCTAACTATCCCATCTGAACCACTCTTGAACGCCACTGATGTCATTTAAGTGATTGACTTAATAAATAGTAACACCTCTAATATTGAGATCCAAGCTATTGTGTAAAATGTATCTTCTCAATTACCAGTATAAACTGAGGCTATTCCCACTAATAATAGCAACTAAATACTTGACTCAATTAGCCAGATACCAGTCGTTGCATAATAAGAGTCTGCTGCTAAAGTTAGTGGAGTCAAGGATATTTAACAAGTAGTTCTAGACAGCGCATTAGTTGCAAACACTACCTAAGGACAGGAGCTGTAATCAGTTTAAAACTAAACAAATGTTACTTAAACATCAATTGAGACCAATACCTCTGTAGTACCATAAGATTTATAAGTTCAGGTTACTCAAACTGTTTAAACGACAACTAGAGCAAAATAAACTGATATTAATGCCAATTCATTACCAATACCCGAATAAGTAACCCAAATTCCAGTATCAAATCAACAAAGTACTGCTTAAATCTAATAAACCGCAAATTAAATAACTTCTAAAGTCCCAATAATATAATCAACCACAACTGTTGCTTAGGAAGCATAAACTCAGACTGGAGACTTGAATATATAAGCTTAAACTTAAGCATCAATAACCCCTTAAGTTACTGTCCCATTATAATAAACAGGAGCTAATCAAGTAGTTTAATAGAAAACTACTGATTAAACTTTAGCTTAAACTAACTCTCAGTAGTAATAACAAACTGTTGGATAATTAAACTAAGATTCTTAAAAATTACCTACTTAGATAGTCGAACAGCCATTGTCTACTCAGTAATCATAATAGGTTTCCCCATAATTGACTGCTAATACACCTTTAGTGTAATCTCAATCCTAATCTGTCAGTTAAGTCACAGATCAAACACTATAGAAACCAGCATTCATGACCCCTTCTGAATGGAACAACTTCCTAGCTGAAAGAGCTAAGTAAGATTATTTGAGATACCAAGACCTACTGTAAAGGCAATAGCAACTTGCCATTAAGGAGATTTAGTTCTAGCAGCAAGTTTCCCAGCAGTCAGTTCTAGACTAGATCAAAATGAAGCATGATAGGGCAAAGCAAGTATAGGAAGCCATTAAATCAGAGGTAGAGTATGAAGTCAACTTAACAGTTGAGAATATGCAAGTTACCTATAATGAGGGTAACAAACAGTTTGCAGACGTTATTGTTAACACTGCCCATGCACTCCAGTGCAATGCTCAATGTGTCCAGTAATGTACCAAAGTATTAACCACTCTCGAGGGAAAAGCTCAATGCCTAGATATCTGCTAATGCTTGTCTGCTACAGCAACTGGTTCCTAAAGTAGTACTGGGTTCTCAACTCTATTCAACGACACACCTGAGCTTGCTCAAACAGACTATACTACATCTACAATATTCTATACTATGATAGTGCTAGCCGTCCTTGCCTTCATTGGCTATAGTCTTTATGTTTCTAAGAAAAGAGAAGAATTGGATAAGAGTAATGAACTTCAAGAATACTTCCTTTTGAAAGATTGACTAAGCAGAAGAAAGTCAGATGAGTGAGACAAAGATAATCTAAATAATGATTTTAATTTCTTTAAACAGATAATAATAATATATTGGATTATTTAATTATTAAATTGAAATGTAATCAAACTAAGTTATAATTATTATATTTATAAAAATGTCAATGGCTGATTACCATAATCTACTTGAGACCATCTGTACTTATTATTCAGATTTTAATCTTCCAATTTATAGTATCTTAGATGGGCTCGGATATATAGTTCGTAGGCGGACTCTTATTAAGGAACTCTCCAATCAATTTCAAAGATTTACTTGATTTAGTCTAGAAGAGGTCTCAAAATGCCAACTTCACTAATGTAGATCTGAGGAATATCCTATCAATAATAACTAAACACAATCTATTAATTGTGACCCAGTCAGAATTCGACAAGGTAACTTATTTTGGAATAGATGAAAAGGAGTGCTTACTCAGACTGAGCATTCCCAGATATATTACTCAGTGCCGTTAAAAGCACGGAGAGTTGCCAGCTTAGATACTAGAAGAGATATTCATCAACGGTAGTTTAATGAAGTCAGAAATACTACCGATTATCACTGAGAAGTCAGCTTTTAGAATCACTGAAGCTGAGATACTCAGAGCAATTGAAGAACTGACCATAATAAATTTAATTATTGGAGCTAAGAGCTATAATCTTATGGAATAGCACTTTGTTGGAGATTCAAAAAGTAAGGGAGGCAGGCCTAAGAAAATGACTAAAAAGCAAATCAAGGAAGAAGAGGATAAGTTCAATGAACATGATTTGGCTATGTAGTAGCAAGCTCAGCTTATGGAATATCCACTGAGAATCAACACTATGAGGTTCCTAGCTGAAGAGAGAAGGTAGAGTGTGATTGAGATGGCTAAGTAAAAGTTTGGAGGATGCTCAGGATCTAACAGTGGAACAACCGGAGGTTATAACAATGAAAGTGAGCTTGACTTCAAGGTGTTCCTTGTAATGGCTTTGAAGTTCCAAAGCGTTCAATAGCTATTGACAAAAGATGAACTAACATACCAAAGAGAATAGATAAGTAAGCAGCTTAAGACAATATCATATTTATATAGGCTTCAATGCCAATGATGTCTAGTAATTGCTTCAAGAAAAAGAGAATAAAGCCTATAATGAAAAGGAGATCAATAGTTCACTAGATAGACTTTTTTAAAATGCGTAAATATATATATTATATATTCGCCTATAGCGACCAGTATCTATTAAAGATAAACTTTGATCACAAAAAGTAGATGGCTGTTTACACTGTGAACTGGCGTCACATCTTTGAAAACTTCAAAATTCAGTTGCTTTATCAGATAGTTGAGGAAACAATGTCCAAGTATCATGCAAGAGTGCTCAGAATTCTCAGCATGAAGGGCTTCCTTGAGGAGAAGGACATCACTTAAATGTGTCTTTTGCCCTTAAAAGATACTAGATCACTCATTAACCAACTGATAAATGAGGGTTATATACAATTCTAGGAATTGCAAGTTAAGCAGTCTGGCTAAGTCATTTTATACGGTATTAACCCCTAATCTTGGCAAAAGGGTGTTGCTCTCAAAGTAGCGAAGTGTAATTTAAACTTGCTATTGAAAGAAAAGTCTTTAAATTTGAGAAGCTATTGTGCTCTTGAACTTAATCATCTTTACTTTTGAATTATGGGTGACAATATTTTTAATTAATATGGATGTATCTATTTTGCTATAATAATATCTTAAAGGGGTTTTGGGGTTTTGGGGTTTTGGGG